TATGCAAAGGTACAGGGATCTGGACAGATAACAGACATGGACAGGGGGTCCAGAGGTTTGGATGAGGTGTGGGAACATTGTCGGATGTAGGTCCGGAATATGAGATATGACACTCATGGAGATCACCAATGCAATGATTGCTAATTTGCAAGAAGAAACCCAGCTAGCACTACGGATAGTTGTGTCTGTCTCTGCAACCTCGTCTAGTACAGTTGTTGCTCTGGAAGAGACCATAGAGCACCCAGAAAACCTTTACACCACATTCTCCGCCACTCATGAAGAAATCGTAGCCCGAGAACCTGTCCCTTCCTCAGACGAAATTATTGCACTCATTGCAGCACTCAAAGCACTTCATATTCACCTGCCTATGGTAGTTCTGGCTACACTTACCCCTCCTATGTTCATAGACACCTTAATCCTCATCCAAGCATTAGGACCCACTATTTCAGCTGAACACAATGAGCTGATCGCAGAAGTAGAACAGATTCCCATGCCAGTAACCGCTGCTGTGTATGTTGTGGCTAAAGAAGAAAGAGCCCAGGTTAAATCTCAGACCATTCGCAAAAGGAGGTCTTTGAGACAGGGATACAGAGGAAAAGAAAAGAAAAGAGCATTGAGCGAAGATGAGGCATTCAGTTGTACCCCCGCTCCACCTATTATTTGACCATGCATCCCCAACTACTCTTACCTGGAAGGATAACGGCTTCTATCAGGAACTAAGCGCTTGGTAAAAGATTCAGGATGATGCATACCTTCTCCAGTGTGTGGAAGAGGAGGCCCTCAACCAAGCAGAACAACTCAGAGGTAGAGACGACCACCTAGACTATTCTAATGACCCTATCCATTGGGCTAACCAGGATGAGTAAAGTCGGTGACTTTACACTTAGTAAGGGGGTAATGTTACAACCGCTATCTGTTTTCCCTTTGTACTTATACAATATGCTTTCCTTTCTTAGCTTGTATGATATATCTCACAATTGTCTTGGTCTGTGCGCACATAAAGGCCTATTTAAGCACAATATATTACACTTGTATTCTCTACTTAAATCTTACTAGGTTTTACCAGAAACATCTTTTGCTTAAGACCCCCAATCTTAAGTCATTTGACACTTGATTCTTAGTCAAAGCACTCCTTTGACTAAGTCCAGAACTCTCTCTATTTTGAGAGACTTAGAATCTCAACGATCATAACTCTGTTGAGTTGTTGTTGTTAGAACTATCCTAGTTTGTAACATCCTTCTTCTCTGATTGTTCCTCCTCCTCCAATTTTCACATTTTTGGCTATCTGGTGAGTCTTTTTTTATTTTCCTATCTTTCCTGTCTGGTTGTAGTAGTTACTTGAAATATAACTTGAATTTTCGCTTTTTTTGTGTTTTGACTGAAAAAGCTAGAATAGCAGTGTCTCCAGAATTTTTTTTGACTATGCATATATAGCCTTATTTGCATATAAGAAAGAATCCCTGCTTTACTAGCTTTGCCTGACTTATAGTAGCTCAAAAAGAAAGCACTTTGCCATTTGAGCATTTTCAGCTTTTGAGTCTTTTTCAACTTATTTCAGCTTATTTTAGCTAAAAAGGCTCGAACCCTTTTTGCTGATGTTTAAAACCATTCCTTACCACCAGAGCACACATGCACCCTATGTTCATTTCTTCATTCCTGAATTGTTTCCTTGCTTTCCTAGCCCTAAGTTGCCAATAATGTGTGTGGACCTGAAGCTGAAGGAGGAGCTGATCAGTAAAGTCTCTTTCAATACATTAAACTTCCAGATCTGCCTGTGCCATCTCCAGCAAGTACATGGCCTTCTTAGCACTTTCAGGATAAACTACATTAAAGTTTCACTGAAAGTCAGTGAATATATCTTACACTCTATATAAAGGAGTCACCTTATTGAGTGTTTCCAGACATTCAGAAGAAGTGGATGATGAATCATCTGCATAATCGAAGTCTGATAAAATTAGACATATTTTTCTGCTATATCTAGGAGTTTGACTGAAGATGAAAAATACCTTGGAGGTGAATGAGAATTTAAATGGATAGGTAATTTGTCTGATGACATTGTAGTATTGTTGAAGTTGTACCAGAAATTGCTGGACATACTTCAAATCAATATCACATATTGGGTATACAGTGCCCTTCCTGTGAAAAGTGCTTTCAGAATGACAGAGGTGTTCTACAACATTTAAATCAACCTACCTCATAATCTTCAATTGGAATGATAACTTAGTTTGCTTTTCAGGCCCACCAGTACAAACCCTACCAGTGAAACCTTAAATCTTTGTGCCAGAAGACAGAATGAATTTTGACAATATATACATGATGGAAGATCACCAGGGGCCAGAGCATGAGGATATTGTTGTAGAGGCTGATAATAAGGAAGAAGTGGTGTTTTATGTTGGTGCAGCAAAGACCTGGGATAGAGGAATGATGTTCATGAAGCAATTCAAGTCTGATAAGTATGCTGAGGAGAGGGTGGGCAATCTGTATTTTCCATTCGCCAACAAACCAAACTGGGAGATGGTGGCATTTCTGTCTCAGTCAGACCTCAGCTGTTAGAGCCGTTGTAGGTATACAACACAGAGTGGAGCTATACAAAGATGTCTCCAAACTGATATCTTTATGTTGTGGTCTTGCACTGCCTATCTGCTATACTTGCGGACAAGTGCGTTCGACCCAGGGGTCTGCGGTCTGGGAATAGTTTTGGGGGTCAGTGGGTGATGTGAGGTCAATAATCCGAGCGCAGGAAACAATGTCCAAAGGTATAATTACGATATCTGATGCAAAAGCGTTGGGTTCGATGTTTTTCGGGTTTCGGGTTATCGGAAACTAATAGTAACACTATAGCGAGCGTCGGGAAAGCGAGCGATGTGCGCAATAATAACAATGATGGATACAGACGGTGAGGGAACGATGATATTCGCAATGTCAACTAAGAGCTACGAAATATCGGGTTTGACCCCTAAGCATCGGAGACGATTCTCCTCTACTTGGATGATGATGATGCTATGGGGAGTCCAATATTTAAGTAGATACGTAGAAATCCGGAACCCTATAGGCGAAAGTAGTAGCGCAATATTTCGGATCCGATGTCCTATGTAATAAGACATGATGTACTGTGGACTATGAGAATACATGTAATAACATGGTTGACAATGTTAGCGATGTAAAAACAAGTAACTACGCACCTAGTGGGGCTAGCGCAATGAGACTGGACATAGGTAGGATGAGTGCGCGCAATATCCGATCGGCCGATGCGAAACCCGATGTTCAATATCCGATGTTTTCGGGTTTGGTGCGTATTGAGTCGGATATGGTAGGGAATGATTTGGGCAATGATTAGCATTCACATGCATCGGAAAATAGACCTCTACGAGGCCACAAGGACTCTAAGTCCTACACCATGCTCAGAGGGTTGACAGATTCAAAAGGGCTTTGGCCTTAGCTCATGTGCTGTGCCCCTTACCCAAGTATGTGTCCTTTAATTTTGGATGAAGTTCAAAGGGGAGTTCTGGTGAAGTTTAGAGAGAAACTCTGGATGAACTCTTGGGCTGGATTGCTCAATAGAGCACCAATGGACTTCCAGATGAGTGTGTGAAAGCATGCTGGAACTACTTCCAGAGTGAGGGGAATAATAGTAAGACTACTGGAATGAGTTTCAAGTAGAATAGATGGAGGAGTTGACCACTGGACGAAGTCCAAGGCAGGATAGGAGCAAGCTCCAGAGGGGAAGGAGATCCACAGTCGGAGGACATGATAGGATAGGTCCGAAGGTAGGAGGAGCGGAGGATCAGATGAGTGGATGAGATGGATGGATGGATGGACAGATGAAGGAGCAGAGCTTTGTGGATATAAGGGGTAGTATAAACTACTATAGTGGAGTAGGTCTGGAGGTTGTGTAAGGATAGTGTAGACTACTTTGAACAAGATATGGAATAGAAACAAATAGGATAAGACTACCATAGGTAGAGTTGGAGGTGAAACGGAACAAAGACTGGAATCAGACAAAGTCTGAAAATGATTACAGGATAAAGAATTAAGGCTCCAGAATAGGGAATGATCCCATAGCCCAGAGCCAGAGGCTTACAAGGGCCGAAGCCCAAGTGCCAGAATGGAAATGAAGTTATATAGACAGGAGGTAAGGAAGATACAGGATAATAAGTAACAGGGTAAACAGAAACAAAAGCAATGATCAGACTAAGGTCTACAGGAGTTGTACTACAAGTTTATATACTATAGCATAACAGAAGATCAGTAAGCATAGTCCGAGGCTATGTATGAAACACATGGAAACACATTAGTAAGTACAACAGAATACAGATATGATGAACTCGGAGATGAAACTTATATGGAATACATTATCAAGATGGAAGCAGAGATAACCAAGAGCTGGAAACACAGGTATATCCTAAATGTGGTAATGTGCAGGTGCATGGAAATAGTTTCAGATAGGACCATGAATAAATCCAAAGGTCCAAAAGCCAAGGGTTCAGATAGGACATGGATAAGGATCAGATGGAGTATGGATTGAATGTGTGAACTGGATTGGGTGGAGATCATATGAATATGTCTGGATATATGAGGATTTGAACAAGATATCATGGTGGAAGTGGTGTGTAGAATCTGGTATATGACATCAGCATAGCAGATATTGACAAGTTTCTCAAGCTTAAATTTGTGAGTCCATTTGTGTTGCATGAAAGAATATCTGAACTCATGTGAAATTAGACCAGAAACCTATCATTTTCATTTTGCTCTTCAAGAGAGCTCCAAGGATGTGCCAAAGTGCTACTATTCCCACCTCAGTAGAAGTATCAAGTAGTTCCTATGGAATTCCCAACAATAAAGACTGCATATTTTTACTAGGACACAATTGAGTACTTCCAGTTACTTCTTAGCTATCCTATGATGGCTGATAGTTTTGACTTCATCTCACGAAAAATTTATGCCAAGGCTGAACATGCCATTCATGTTTACTATGATTTCATGATGGGTGACCATGCTTCCTCATTGCTTATGTAGCTAACACTCCAGAGGAGCTCGTCATTGCTTGCATTACCATAAATGCATCACCCATCACTGTGGCTACATGTGCCAACTTTGGGGACCCAGACCATCATCCTCTTTGTAAAGACTCATCTACACTTGCTAATATTCACAAAGTCATCATATCCATCTCTCCATCTGAACTTGTGGCATTTTTCAAGAAGTGCAAACAATATCACCTAAATGGTGTCCAACAGCCATTGTGGATGGATTGGGTCACTGTGGATCCTTCTTCTTTCCTTATGCTGGAATCGCTCCATCACTTTCACAAGATATTCTTTGACTATGACCATGTCTGGTGTGTTAACATTGATCAGTAGGGATGAGATGTATTTGTTGAAAGCAAAGTTAGTTTATAACATTGTGTGAATCTGAATCTGCATGCCTAATTATATAATGTACTAGGATGATGTATTTTTCATGCACCATGGTGCTCATCATATACTACCCCCACCTAATTCATGATCAAATGACAAGCAAGATATCATCTGTGATCTCAAGCAAGCTCTGTTTCCTCCCATTCCCATGATCTTTATTTATAGTTAATGCTATACCCAGTTGCATCTACTTGGAGGATATCTTCACTATCCCTGATATACAAGTAACTTTGACTCCTACCACCTCAGAGGCATTGGAGACTGAGGTTCTTTGGTACACAGAGACTGTATTTTCTCAATTCAAATGTGTTGCACTCAAAAAGATAGAGAAAGTCCTTCTTACTCACCACAAAATCATATTCATTCTGTTTATTCCCATATCTGAATGAACTTGTTATGAAGCACTTGCTGACAAATCTCTGTGTCCATACACCTTTGTTTCACCACATAGAGATGCAGACAAATTATTTGGTCCCATTAAAGCGATGGACCACAACTAGATTGATGTATCTAAGATTGAGTACTTTATTTGGCTCAAGATAAACAAAAGCACCATCAATATCAACAATCCTCACATGGCTTATGGAGTGATTAATTTATTTGATATATTCAATAGGTCCTGACATTATTTTTCAGACAGTTCTTAACACTTAATATGGGCCAGATCAGCATTGTCTTGAACCAGACATGTGAACTGTATTGGCATTCATTTGAAGGTTTAGTTAGAGTGGAGAGGATATAGTATCCTTATAAGCTAGTCTCATTCCCACTGTAAGTGCATTGTCATCCACATCCACCTCTGAATTCAAACCAAAGTGGATACCCAAGCATTCCTCTCCATACTACAAGAGGGCCACTTCTATGTGTCTCTATTCTCAAACACCTTCACCCTCACACTCCTCTTCAGATTCTTTTTCAGATAGTGACTCCTCAACTTCAAGCATAGGTGTATCAGAAGACTTGAAGATACCTAAACCTGCTGTGAACCCAGGCGTCCAGGATGTGGGGGTACACACTTTACAAAGCTTTAAATTGGAATCTAAAGGCATATGAAAAATTCAAGGTTCATAAATTGTTATTATACCCTCATTTCAAATTAACTTACTAACCCTAAGAAATATATGCATAGTCTCATTGAGGAGCACCTTAATACAACAAAATGTACTTCTGCTTAAAGTTCAGCACTGTTAGAAGTTGTGCATGGCAAGGTAAACAGTTTCTATTAGTCTTGATATTGACAATGAACTCATGACATCTCAGGCTCTCAATAGCTTCCCAGACCTTGAAAATTATAGCAACTTGTGGCCAGTCAATAATCTGATTATGACATGCCTGAAATAAATGTCGGGTCATATGAGACAAAAGGTGAAAGAAATGGCTGTGGGCAAGAGCAAGGCCAAGGCCAAGGCCAGGAAGTAATAGCCACAGCATTAAATATCTCTGTCATTTACCACTGTATGCATTCTCTACTCAGCTTGCATTCCAAAATTGAGCATTCTCATTGATGTCTGGTACTAGACAATGCCAATATGAACAGCAAGCTGCAAGTGAGGGCAAATTCAAATTGAAAATCTCCAAATAATAGTTAAATTCTGTGCGCCTTCAGCTTGAAATAAGATTTGCAGTCCAGCTAAGAAATTCTGGTATGTTACAATGTTTTCATAGTCTAGACAATTATACTACTACTCCACACCTCATAGCCAATTAGCAATTGTTATGAGTGCTTAAGGGTTTTACAAGAGTAAGATCGCACAGGAGCCTAGCTCTTGGATGTCCACTTATGCTCTGCACAAAGCTGAAAAGACATAGTAAGCTCAATAAATCATGAGGTCTACTACTTACTCACTGATCAATTATGAAGTCAGCAAGCGCATTATCTCTGCCTTGCATGTTCACAACTGAGAAATTGTTGACTCCAATCCTTATAACAACTACATCATCTTGGAACTTATGATCACCCTTGCTAAGAAGCATATTGGCTCTGAGACAACAATGTCACTTGAAGAATATGCAGAATTAATAGACGTGTCTCCCTTCATGCACCCTTATGAAACAGTTGTAGATATAAGGCTGCATGGTAGCCTCCTTGAGAAGACTTTCAGGCACAAGAAAATGCTAAGCAGTATGTAAATGGCCAAAGCATTGCATCATCATAGTGACCTGATGGGGTCTAGTCCATGATGTCAAATATAGCCTACACCACAGGTGAAGCTCTGGGGTCTTATTTTGAAGGTAAACAAGAGTGTGAGCAAGTGAGTGAGTGATAACTTACAGAAGTTGTTGGAAGGATATATGTGCAAGTGTTCATCATAATGATATATACAATTAAGGCAGTAATGTCAGAGATATGTGATGAAGGCAGGCAATGAAGGTGGGCAATGAAAGCAAGGTGAGGTAGTGGTTTGGCTTTTAAAACTTGACATGCTAAGTCAAAGACAATAGTCTGCATTAGAGGACATAGTCATCAGAAACAGTGGAGAGCCAAACCAAATGAAGGATGACAATACTATACACTGGTCATCAAGGGTAATTGTACAAGGGAATTGTACAAGGGAATTAAGCAACAAGATGATTAAAAGTGATGGAGATAGACATGCAATTGCCATACAATAAGATAATGACTAAAAGAATAAAGATAGTAATGCATGCACAAGACTTAAGAAGACTCTGGAATATTATTTCATAAACTAAAGATGAATTCTTACCCTGCCTTGAGTATTGATAACTTCGAAGAAGATGTACAAACATCTCATGACACAAATTTATTGGAGACGACAATGAGAGTGATGCTGGTAATTGAGCCCATTCAGTCACTTTTCCGTGTTACACAGACACCCAAAGTTGAGATTCTTCCAAGTGAGACAGGCCATCCAAACGGGCCCAGATCCAACTGTAGGCTGAAAAACATGGGTGGGCCTATGATGTTTGTGATGCCTCAGCATTGACAGCTGGGCCCATAGATGACAACTGACAATGGAATGATCGCACGGTTGGGCCGAAGGAGGGTGTTAGAAATTGATGTTTGGGCCCAGTGTAATGAGGTGGAATCTTTCAGATGGACTGAAAGGTGATGATCTCACATTTCACGACCAGGCCCAAGGGTCTGATAGTGGAAATTCACTACCAAAAATGATGAACCAAACCAGATGCAGATGAAATAGTTCGGATGTCATCAATAAATCATTCTTGGTCTAGTACAATGACCTCTGGAAAAAGTTGCATTTCCATATTTTCCAGGATTCATCCACTGCCAGATGGTATGACCAAAATGTCAAGACCTTGTATACTGCCCCATTGTATGACCAAAACATCAAACCTTGTACTGAGAGTGATGATCTGAACTGGAAGTGTGTTGAATAGTTTGGATAATATCAATGAATCATCCCGGGTGCAGTAGAATGACCTCTGGACACAGCTTCCTTTCAATATGTGCTGATATTCATATACCGCCCAATTGTATGATCAAAATGTGAAACCTTGTACCAAGTGTAATAATCTGAACTGGAAGTATGTTAAATAGTTTGGATAGCATCAATGACTTATCTTGGGTCCGATAGAATGACCCACAGAAGAAGTTTTCTTTCAATATGTGCCAATATTCATCTACTGTCTGATTGTATAATCACATTGTGAAACCTTGTACTGAGAGTGATAATCTAAACTGGAAGTGTGTTGAATAATTTGGATAACATCAATTTATCATACCAGGTTCAGCAGAATAACCTCCGGAAAAAGTCGCCTTTTAATATGTAAGTGCCAGGATTCATTTACTGCCCCATGGTATTACCCAAATGTGGACCCTTGTACTGAGTGTAATGACCTGAGCTGGAAGTGTGTTCAATAATCACATTGGATAACATCAATTTATCATACCAGGTCCAGTAGAATGACTTCTGGCAAAAGCTACCTTTCAGTATGTGCCAAAATTCATCTACCATCCTATAACAATCCTTAACTATCACTGCAGGCATTTTCTCATTTTCCTCCACCAAACATCCAAAAAACATTGATTGAGAAGATAGAAATTTCCTCTCATTTTGTCTGTCAAAATATTGCAAAAAAGTAATTTATGTTTCAATGATATTCTGTATGTGGGACATGATGCAAAAATTGGTCATGTTCCTTGAAGGATAATATTGTATTTTCCATCTATCGTCTTTGAAATAACAGCTTAAAATAATGTTAATTTTCTTCTCTGTGTTTTTCAAATATACACAGAACATTTGAAAAACATAGAGAAGAAAATCAACATTATCCTTCAAGAAACATGACCAATTTTTGCATCATGTTCCACACACAGAACATCATTGAAACATGAATTACTTTTTTTCAATGTTTTGACAGACAAAATGAGAGGAAATTTCTATCTTCTCAATCAATGTTTTTTGGATGTTTGGTGAAGGAAAATGAGAAAATGCCTGCAGTGTATGTACATTTGATGTGTGATGCTAGATATGTGAATCAACCTGTTTGTGATCACAGTTGCAGTCTTGGTAAACTATTGTCTTGGATTAGTAGTCTAATTGTGCCATAAGGTTATTGTTTGCAATTCTTACACTATTCTAGTGACATATACTTACCTCTTTTCTCAACATCAGCTGGATAGTCTAGTGGTAACTTGGTCCCTATTGTGATACAGTGCAGGATTTTGGCCAGGAGACTGCTCTACTGTTCAACTTTCCACAGTGCTATAATTAATTATCCATGTTGTGATAATGTCCAATACTACCTGTTCAACCTTTGTTGTTGTTGCTGTGCTGGTGTCTCCTTACATTTTTCCTTATTATATAAGCTATAGAAACATGCATTCTGGAGGTCATTCTACCAGATCTGGGATGATTCCAAACTATTCAACACACATCTGGTTTGGATCATCACTCTTGGTACAAGGTTTCACATTTCGGTCATACAATCGGGCAGTAGATGAATATTGGCACATATTG